GGGACTCGATCCCAGGACCCTGGGATCATGACCTGAGCCGAAGGCAGACGCTTAACCATCTGAGCCACCCAGGCGCCCCTGTTATGTGTTTGTTTAGTGACTTTCCTGTACTAATTTTGTAGTCTGTTTTCTTTGTCATGTGTGGCCACTAAAGTCTCTGCTCACTTAACTTAGGGGTTAGCCAGTGATTGGACAGAGATTCCTTAAATGCCTGGCACCAGTCAGTTTCCCAGCCTTTGCCAAGGGGTCTGTGTCTATGTGTTAGGGCAAACCCTAAATCTGGCAGTTTACAACTCAGGCTTAGCCTTCACTTCCTGCTTATACAGAGCCTCAACACTAACCAGAGGTGAGAGATTAGAGCCTTCTCAAGTCTTTCCTGGGCATGTGCACTGGCTTGTACATCAAATGGCCTCTAGCTCCACAGGAATGTGTTGGCATATTTCAAAGTCTTCTATGGACATCTCATTCCCCACATTTCCTTTTCAGTTTTTGGGCAGTCTCTTCTTTGCTCTATAACTGTTACCCTTTTTCATGTACCTTCAATATTAAACAGCCACTACTGATTTTCTTTTTTTAAACAAATGTTCCAGGAAAAGGCTTTCGCAGTGAGTAAGCTCTGAATGAGGTCAAATAAAGATAAGCCCTGTGAGTGGGAATTTCCAGGAGCCTCTAAAAAGGTCAAACTATGTAATTCTCTTGGAGTGGGGCTTTTTCAGGAGCCCCAAACCTGTCTATTCTCTCCAGTGGTTGCTAGGTAGCTGGGTTCCACAGCTACTATGTTATGAGGCTGTTGGCTTTCAAAGCTACCATAGAGCTGGGAAGAAGGGGATCAGAATAGGGCAAGTTATAATTCTGAAAAGCTCCCTGTTCTTACTGGGATTCAGCCCTTTTTCTTGATTAAATGTTCCTTGGATTGTTGCGAGCCTTTGGTTAATCTTCAGAGTTCTGAAAAGGTTGATTTTGAAATTTTTTGCCAGAGTTCTCATTGCTTTTATGGAGGGAGTGGATTTTTGGAGGTTCTTAGTCTGCCATTCCATTCTCTGGTGGAATTTTGAAGTTTCCTTTCTATAGATATTATACATTTTAAATTGGTTTATTTGGTTTTCTGTGTGTTGAGTTGTATCTTTAAATACTTTGGATCTAACCCCTTATTAGATATACCATTTGCAAATATTTTCTCACATCCAGTAGGTTGTCTTATTTAGGAAACCTCTTGATCATTGTACATTAGTTTGGTATACAACCGTTTTGTTAAATTGTCATCTTGCTTATAATAGTTTTGTTGGTGGTGGTTCTGAATTTTCAGGTAAATAAAGGTGTTTCCTACAAATAATGATACCTTTGCC